CCTCCCCATTTGGAATTGGATGATAATGATTTATTGTGGTGTACTGTTGAAGATGATCTATGAGTTTTTGTTTAAAGTGTTTTCTTTTTTTTTGCTTTCTCTCTTTTCTTCTTTTTATTCTTCTTCTTGTTTGTTGCTATTAGTGTAAGTGTGTCTATTGAAAGTGTTATTGTTTCTTGTGTACCTCCTTGCTCTTTCTTTTGTGATTTTTTTTTCTCCCCCTGTTGTTTTTCTTACAGTGTCGGCCATTGTGGATCGCTTGGCACGCGACCCCACAGTGGTGCGACAAACCTGCAGTCTCGTGTAAGGGCAAGGCCTGGCCCCCATCGGATTCATGTTTGTTCATAAATTGTAATTTTATTTTTCCTATTTCCTTTTTCTTCTTTCTCTCTCTATGACAATGTTGTGTCCTGTTCTTCTCCTATATCATTTTTCTCTCTCTATATCTTTCTTGATCGTGGTTGGATAGTGAAAATATTGATTGGTTAATGGAATTGAATTAATTGAATAATGAAAATGCATCATAAATGATTTTAATGGAAAGTAAATGCATTCGAGCTCTTGAAAATGAATAATGAATGGCCTTAATTTCTTTTTAGTTAATGGGATCCCTAAGTTTTTAAGTTATTTTAATTTTCTCACGCTCTGTGCGTGCTTTTGCTAAGTGTGTGGTGACATTTCGTTCACTTTCTTTGTTTTGTTTTGATATTGCTATTAGATCTTTGTGTATTCCTTTTTTTTTTGTGGGTGGTACCACTGGTTATATGTGTTTGAGTTATCAGCCTGTCGGTTCTGGACTGCCGGTACAGTGTGTTGAGTATGGCCTTACCGTTTTTAATTTTTTTTTTCTCATTTGCTTGCAGTTACTCTGCTATTTTTTCTTTTCTGCCGCCTTTTGAGCGCAGTAGCTTTTTAATCACTTAACATGACCCTCGCTCGGCTTGTCGCGGCTATGGTGCTGGTGGCTACCCTTGTTGGCCACCTACCTGCACTCGGTGACGACGTTGCTGTCGTAGAGACCAAGGCAGTGCACGTGACTGCGACCAACCATCTAGTCGCAACCGGTTACTTTGACGTGTCCTTCGTCATGCACTTGCCAAATACGACGATTGAGGCGGCACCGAGTACACAATTCCACTGTGTATCAATGCTACCTGATTGGCCAGAGTATTGTTCTGTGTTTGACCAACTGGATAATTCAAGCACGGCCATTCTGCTGGAATTAGGTAAAGTGTTGTCTTTCGAAGACAAAGTACCGCTGAAGCCGCGCCGATCTCTGTTGCCGTTCCTTGGTGAGTTCCGTAGGTGGTTGGAAGGAACTGCTACGGAACGCCAACTAGACTCCGTTATTACGTCGGTAAACAAGCTGGGCACGGCTTTCAACGCTCTGCAAATATCTCAGTCAGAAATTGTTAACATAACTAGGATTAATGCTGTCAAAATAGAGTCTGCCAATGCAGCCATCCGCAAGGATCTCCAATCTTACCATACTGCTATATCTCAACTTGCCAACGCCATTCTTGAACATAAAGATCAAATGAATTACGTCCTTAAAAGATTGTTACTTTCAATTGTTGTAAATTCTAGAATAAGTCTATTCCAAACGCATTTGTCCACTATACGATCTGTCCATGCTTCATGCCGTAACGGGCGCCTCAGCAGCCTAGTTGTGCCCGAGGCCAAACTTCACGAAGTCTTGCTCAACAACACCGCTAATCTCTATGCAAACAGTGTTAAATTCCTACTTAATTCCATTTCTCAATATTATGATTTCGCCTTAGCCTCCTGTACCATGGTTGAACCTTCAATTATAAATATCACTCTACCCGTACCGGTCACCTCTGCCCGGTCCGCCTGGAGAGCGTTTGACGTTACTCCGCTTAAATTCCTCAGTACTTCACTTACTTGTCAAATTGTTGAGCGGCCTCTCCGTTTTGCCTCGGATGGCGTGCACCTACGCGCGCTGGCTGATCCCGTTCTTATAGGTTCGTCATCCGTTTATTTGTTGCCTAGATTTCACTCACCGTCTGGGATCGATGTATGCTTACATGATCTTTTTCACATTAATAACGTGTCTAGTATCAGTAAGAAGTGCCCAATGATGTGCAATGATATCACTCAAACAACCGTTCAGTTGTTAAACAGCTCCACTTTTTCTATTCTTAATCCGAGGTATCCTGTACAAATTATATGTCTGGATCAAATGGTTAGAATCTTATATCCGATAAATTCCGGTAGGTACGAGGTATCGCTACCCTGTGAGTGTGCGGCGCAAGACATGTCTCCAAAACAAGAAATTATAATCCACCCTCGCTCAGCCTGCATTGCCACCCAATCCATGCACGTGGATGCTTCCTGGGCGGGTGACCGATTGTCATCCGTCGAGTTATTTGTGCCGAAGTCTCACGTTGCGGCAGTCTTGGCCTCGAACTTGACTTTGGCGCCCCTGATGCTCGTTACCCCTTCCCCGCTGCCCAGCGACTCCCACTGGGAAAACCTACCCCTGGTTGGCGGTGGGAAGGTGGAATACGTTATATGGTCCATCCTCTGTGTGCTGGCACTACTGGGTTCCTGCTGGTTCCTGGAGTCCCGCTTTCAAATCTTCAGTGGATGTTGGCGTGTTGGGTTGTGTGCGTGGCGGTGGTGCTGTGTTCGAAAATCGACAGCATCTCCGTCACCGCCGCCCCGTGCCAAGGACCAGAGTCACCATACTTCCGAGGACATCGAGATGGAAGAAAGGGCAGTTAAGGCTACTGCTGCGCTGCGGCAGAACCGCCTTGCTCAGAGTTCCCTTTCTCTTGACGAGTTGCACACATCGAGGGAAGTCCAGCGGTCAGATCAATCGTAAAGACATGTGACTGATCAGAGACCGGCACTGTGACGTCAGTCTTAAAGTCAGTGTTCGGCTCTGCTGGTGAGCTTGCCTCGCCAGTGCTGGCCCACCGGTGTGTTACGTTGGGAGCGTGTCGTGCTGCATACGCACAATTGTATATATTCTTTTTCTTTCCTTCTTCGGTGAGACGTCACCATTTTCTGTAAATAGTTCCTTTTTCTTTGCGTTCCTCGTACAATCGGATTTATTACTATAATTCAATTTTTTGTGTGTAATTTTTTTTATCCATCTGTTGTATTAGTTGCCATTTGCTGTTTATTTTAATTCCCGTTAGGAGTTTTTGCACTGAGGGTTTAAAAGTTTTATGTCAGTTTTACTTTCACAATCTTGTAGTTAACCTAAATATTCATTTCTATATGTTTCTTTTTTTCTCGTTTTTTTTTTTTCAAGTGTGTTCACTCAGTAACATCTGTGTGTAGCTTTCTAGTTAATTTTTTTTCTGCTTTGGTTACATTTTAGTTCTGCTATTTGTTGTACAATGTACTAAAGTAAAATATGGCTGGTATTTTCGTAGCAGTATAGGCATACAATAAAAAGATTTCTTGCGAGGTATGCTTGCTTGTGTGTGTTGTTTAGTTAGTTGTGTTTCACTTGTTTTTTTCTAATGCACCAGCACGTTTAATTGTAGTTTAACTTCTGAATGTATTTTCTCGCACTTTTCAAGTCATTTCCTTTTTATCATAACCTTTGATTAATTGTTCATTCCATAATGGGTCTATTCGTCTTTTTGCTTAACCTTCCAATTTTTTTTACTCATTTTTTTTTCTCGGTAACTTTTTTTCTTAAGCTCAACTTTTTTTTTACCTGTTGTGCGTATTGGTTTCCTTGCGTTTCAATTAGACGGTACTCTGCTATAGTTTTTAATTAAATTCACTTGTATCCGGTTACCACTCAGACACTCTTTAGGGACTTTTACTCACCTTTTTTTGCAATCTGCGCCTCAAGATTCTTCCGCGTATTCTGTTAGTCAGATTAGTTCAGTTTTTTTTTCCTCACTTGCCATTTTTTTGGGTGGTCGTCCGCGCTTTTATTTTTGCTTTTGTTTCTAAAATTGTATTTAACTTAACTTCAATTATTTTCTTTATTGAAACGTTAACCTTTTTTTTTTTAATTGACTTCTGATCCCTTTATTCTCGGGGTCGAGAATTTTTTTGGTGGCCGTTAATGTCGTGGAGCACGACGCGAGGTCCCCTCCCTTTTATATTTTCGCGCCTTATGCGCCCAGCGTGGACGAGCCCTATTAGTTTAGCTAGGCACCCCTGTTCTGAGGCTAGTTCGATGGCTGGCGA